CTGAAATGCACAAGACATTGCACATAACTTATCTGATTACAAATAAGTAACAACAAAAAATTAACCACCCCAAATGTCCATAGCACTGAGGCTGAGAAGCCCTGTTCTAGAGCATGGTGGTCTTACATCAGGGCTGGCTTCCCTGGAGTGAGTTCCCAAGAGAACCAGGTGAAACCTGCACGTCCTTTTACAACCCAGCCTCAGAGGTCACAAAGCAACAGTCCTGTGTACTTTACTCGTCAAAGAAGTCACAAACCTGCCTAGACTTAAGGGGAGAGGATGTGAACCCCACCTCTCCCTGGGAAGAGTGTCCCAAAGATCATGGTCACCACTAAAGAAGGAACCAGCATGGTGGGAGGCAGGCGGGGCCATAGAACCACTGGGGGAGTTGTCCTCTGGTCAGCAGCTCATCCTACTGGGTGCTGGTCAGTGCTGTCACTGGACCAGTGCCCAGGGGCAGCTGCTGTGACTGACTCTGAAGCCTTGTCAAGAATCCCTATGTCCCACACCCTTCATCACAGCACTACTGGGGTTTCTCTGGAATAGTAGGAAACTGAGATTAGGACTCTGCATTTGACTGTCTTTCTACTCTCTTTCTCCTTCTATCTAGTTGAACCCTGCCCACTCTCCCCAGTGGTTTGACAGCTGTGGTCTCACTCGCACCTGTAACCTCACCTACTTCTGGACACCTAGGCAGAATCCGCTTCATGGCAGATTCTTTTATTATTGGCTTGGGCAGGGGAATCTGCCATTAATGATTTAATCTCCACAAGGCATTCCTCCTTAATTGCTAGTCATGGATGATAATTAGTGACTGATCATTATTCCTGATAATTAACAAGCTAATACTTAGAGGTAATGGTGCCAATCATCTTAAAAAGCTCAAAGCTGCCATGCTTCTGGGCCCCCGTCTCTCTCCAAAGGGACATGTTGACGTGGTGTGTCGGCGTCTCTAACCCAGAAGTTAGCCGGAGCCCTGCATTTTTGTTCACAAGGACAGTGACGGGAGAATTGATTACTCTCATATTTGATTTAGTTTGACTCCTTGGTTGTAGAAGCAACACCATACATAAAGAGCTCTGCACACTGCCTGCTAGCGGACTGATACTCAGTCAATAGTATTACTTATTTATAAATAAATGCCATTACATAACAGAAGTGTAAATATAATTTTATAATGAATAAGATTATTTTTCACCCTATGTGGCAGTCTATAAATTTACTGCATACCCTGGAAAGGGGCCAGACTTTCTGCTTTCCCCAAGCACATTCTGGCGTCTAGACTTCAGGGTCTGCTGTTGTAGAGTTTGGCAGGCAAGGTCACCTTCAGCCTCTTCTTTGATTTCTTGCTTTTGTAGATTCAGATCCAATCCCCTACCCCTTTCATCTTGCTAAATCTCCAAGACTTGAATCTTTTTCATCTGTCTGCCCAGCTTACCAGTAAAAGTGGCTGCTCAACTGTGGCCCAGGCAGCCAGCGCCGTATTTCAGAAGCTCTGATCTGTCTTTTTGCAAGAAGCAGGAGCTTAGCCCATTGTTGCTAAATAATACTAATGGCTTAGACCAGATCATGAATTACGTTTTTGTCAAAGCACAGTCATATCTGCTGTTCTGTTTAATCACCTCACCTCAGCGATTTCAGTGCAGTGAGCAGGAAAGGGATTGTTATTCTTCCCAAGGGGCAATAGGGTTCCCAAAGTGGGTTCCACAGAACTTGATGTCATTTTGTGGTCAAACAAGTTTGGAAACTACTAGAATAGCAAAGCCAAACAGGCTTTTTAAGGCTTTAATATAATGTGCAATGTGGTTCTTTAAGAGTTGGATGCAGTGCTTCCCAAGCTGTTTTTTACCAGAGTCCTTTTATCTAGAATATTCTATTGAGCTGTTGTTTCATGGAATGCACTTTGGACACACTCACAGGGGTGGTCTGAAGAAGGGCTTGGGAATGAGGCAAGGTGAGGTTCAAACGCAGACACCACCACTTGCTGGCTGAGGGGTCTTAGTGGTCTCATGCAAGGTCCTTAACCTGTCTTGTCCTGGTTTGCTTCCCTGTAAATGGGGACGGCGACAGAATTGTAGGGAGAAGGGAGTGGAGCGCTTAGCAGTAGCCAACAGCGGCGAGCATGCGATTCAGTATACTTTAGATATTACTATTCTCTTCCTCTGTGTCATCTGGGAGAAAAAAGGGGCTTCAGAAAGTGTCTTGGTCCAGTTCGTGTTGCTAGAACAGAACATCTAAGACTGGGTGATTGATACAGAGGTTCATGTAGCTCAGGGTCCTGCAGGCTGAGAAGTTCAAGGGCACAGCCCTTCTTCCAGCAAGGGCTTTCATGTGGCATCACAACATGGCCAAGAAGATCAAAGGGGAACTGAGGAGACATGAGGGACGCCCTGGCTTTATACCAGGCCTCTCTCATTGGGGAACTCATTTGGTCCTTGAACTAATCCAGTCTCGGGGAAGGGGAAGCTCACTCCCTGCCACCAGAGCAGCCCCGACAGTTCCCCACAGCGCCACGCTGGGGGGCAAATTTCAACATGGGCTTTGGTGGGGACAAAGGAACCACATCCAGACCGTAGCAGAGAGGCTGATTTTTCACCATTACACAGACATTTGGCAGCACGGCTATGTTATAAAATCCGGTTCTCCTGGCTCCCAGTTCAAGGCACTTTGCATCCTACTATCCCCTCCTTCTCCTCTGCGTCCTTCACTGCCGTTAACCATCCTTGGAATTCCAATTCTATTTCCTCCAGCGGATGTTGGGATTTTGTGAGCCTCGCATGGAAGTGGAAGTGCTGAGCTATTATGTAATAAAAACCTTTCTATCACTACGACATCACTACTACTTCCCACCAACCCCAGCAGCCTTCTCCTGGGGCTCTGCGTGGGACCTGGCTGCTCCAGGCAGCTTGCCCTGCCACCCGCTCCTTGGACTGGCTTCTGCCTGTCCTGATGCTGCCCCACCTTGCACATCGTCCCAGCTTGTGAACTCTGCTAGTAGCAGTGGCCCTGAATCTATGTGTCTTCCACAGCAGCCAGCACAGAGCTTGTGGTGCTTTATTGGATACTTATGTTAGATGCAAGCCCCACCACACGCCCCGCTGCGTGGACAGTGATTTGGCTGACTGGGGAGAAGGGCTGGCTATTTGACGCTGCATTTCTCCCCTCTTTGTCACAGACAATGCAGGAAGACTTGTCGTGGCTTAAACCTCACTCCAGCCTTGCAAACATGGTGAACACATGCTGTCACATGTCCCCAGGAAGCCCATGTGTGGCTCACTCTGCAGATCAATCAACTGTCCCATAGTCAGCTGCCAGGGCAGGGCTGGTACTGTGGAACCAGAGTCAGGATGGCCACAACTCCTCACCAAAGCACTGACCTCTCCCACTTACCCCCACCCCACAGCAACCTCAGACTTTGCAGATGAACCTGGCTTCTGTGCCTTTCCAGCTATCTCAATATCTGCTTGTGTTTGGGAGCTCAGCTGGGACATTGGGTAGGGCCCTGGGACACTACTGAGGCTTGAGCTTGGGGGACCCCACCAAGGCACTGTCGCATCTCTTTCCTGAACATCATTAACATCTCATTTTGAAATTTCTGACTTTGCTGTATTGCAAGGGGCCAGGAAGGCACTGACAGCGTGACCACCTTGTGACCGTGACTGGCTTGGGTGCGACACCCTGTTAGAGTTGTCCCAGGCTCTTCCAGAGATGGCTCTGCCTGCCCCCCTCCACCCTGGCCAGGTGACCCCTTCTGGGTCCTCCTCACATCTGGGCTTCCCCACAACAGCAGTTGCGATGGCATCACCTGTGTGCTTGTCACAGGCAGACCACTCACAAGGACCCCGTTAAGATGCAGGCTCTGATTTAGAAAGCGAGAGGGGCCAGAGAGTCCCCTGTCCTAACAAGCACCCTTGATGCTGATGTTGATGGTCCATGGATCACACTTGGAGTAGCAGAGATCAATTGTTCTCATTAGAATCACTGGGAGCATTTTAAAACATGCCATTGCCTGGGCCCCACTTGAATCCAGTTGTATCAGAGCCTCTTGCAGTGGTGCCCGGGGACCAGGGATACTTAGACACTTCCGAGGGGCCTGTAGCTGGTGGCCAGAATGCAGAAGTGCTACACTGGGCTGTGACTCCGTGGGGGCTGGCCCCCACCTGTCTTGGCCCCTACTGTGGCCCAGCATCTGGCTCTGGCAGGTGTCAGTGGATGTGTTCATGGCCAAGTGGCACAGACTCAGCTTCTCTCTGGCTGGTTCAGAGCTGGCTCCTGCCAACATCATGAGCTGGGCAGGCTAGGGTCGGGCCATTTTGGATTAGGTGGACTTAGGAGGATATCACACTGAGACTGCTGTGTGACTTCTTTACTTGTGTTGAACCAGTCCAACAAATGCTTACAGTCACGTGAGGAAGACGCCTTCCCCTGAGAGGCCTCCCCACGCCTCTGCCTCTTCCCAGGGCTGCTGTCCCCTCTTGTTTGGGGGCCCACTGCTCTCTCAGGCTGTGTTTGAGCTTCAGAATCCTTCTCAACACAGAGAGGCCTGCCCAGCACGGTTCTCTGCTCTATGCTTCCTCTCTGCTTCCTGGGCGGGTCTCAACCACAGCTCTCACTGGACTGCATTTGGGAGCACTTCTGCTCTTCAAGATGGGGGTCTCTTCAAGGACAAGGGTAGTGTCATGTTCATTCTTGTGTCTCCAACGTCTGGCATGATGGGTTGCTGAATGAATGAATGAATGAATGGTAGTACCCAGAAAGGGGGACGCCCAGAGAGGACAAGGGGGCCCTTGCACTGACATGCCAAGAAAGCTGTGAACCCCTGAAGGAGGAGAAGAAGGTGCCACTTGTGTCCCAATGGCCTGGAATCCAGGTAGTTGCCTGGTGGTCTTTATCCATCTGTTGAGCCAGGCAGGCTGACAAGAGTTACCGGCTTCTCATCTTGGTCTTCTCAGAGCTAAGGCCACTGTCCCCTGCTTTCCCTCCCCAGACTCCCCTCCGTGCTGGTGGGACCACGGCTGCTGGCCTCCCAGCACCCATCTGGGAAGATGAGCGCCTGTGGGAGGAAGGCCCTGACCCTGCTGAGCAGTGTCTTTGCCGTCTGTGGCCTGGGCCTCCTGGGCATCGCGGTCAGCACTGACTACTGGCTGTACCTGGAGGAGGGTGTGGTTCTGCCCCAGAACCAGAGCACGGAGATCAAGATGTCCCTGCACTCAGGCCTCTGGCGGGTCTGCTTCCTCACAGGTAAGGGCACCTCCACCCCAGGATCACCTGCCCCAAGAGATCCCTCCCTGGGAAGAGATGGCCAGGAGATGCTGGAAGGAGCCAATTCACCACGGATCATCCCCATAAACTCTGGGTGCTGCTCCCTGCAAGTACTGGGCCCCTGTTGCAAACTTCAGCCCTGATGGACATGTCCAATTGAGCACGTCCTTTCACCTCCCAGGTCTTCCCTCCTGCCTTCCCTGTACTCTGCTCCCACAGCAGGAAGACAAGCATGACATTGCCCCGGTCTCAAGTGTTCCCACACACGTTAGCTCATTAAACGATTAAGCCCATGAAATCTTCCAAACAACACTGCGAGATAGGCCTTGTTATTATTTCCATTTCACAAAGGAGGGCATGAAGATGTGGGGAGGTCAAGTGCATCTTCTCAACTCAATGTCCTTGCATCCAGTAGTTTGCAGGATGGGAGATACTTAGCAGTTCTCTATTCCTCGGTCTATGACAAGGCACAGAAAAAACACAAATGCAGGTCCCTCCAGCTCTGCAGCAGGGTCCAGCCTTTAACCCACCTATCTGGGCCCCCCATCTACTTGCTAGGCCTTCTCGGGAACCCTTGGAGTTCTCACTCTAAGAACTGTGACCCTTATGCCTTCATCATGGCCTAGGACCACCCTGCCCAAGAAAAGCATCTCCGGGTCATGAGATACCAGCTGAAAGCCTGGGCTGCCACTGTGTGGTCACAGGGCTTTTCCTGGTAGGGCCCTGGAAACTTTCTGCATGTTGTGAAGAGCCAGGATTTGGTTGTCCCAGATTTGCGTCCTCCAGCTTGAGGGTAGAGCTTTAGGGGATCAGGTGGTGGTTGGTTCCTGGCAGAGTTTAGCAGGGAGGACATCGAGAGGCCTGGCCTCCAGGTCACTTGTTGAGTGTTCCTTGGGAATGGCATCCAATTCTGACTTTTCCCACTGCCCCAGACTGTGTGACATCAGCTCCTGCTTAAATCTGAAGCAGAGTTTGAAGGCACAAGGATCTGGTTTCCAAATTGGTTATCAAGGCACTTGGGGTTCTGCTCCGTGACACCCACACTGGTACACTGTTGATTCTAAGTCAGCCATATGCCATCATCAGCCCCATCTGTCCAAAAGCAGTGAGACAGTACTGGTGTTGGATCAGCACAGAGAGTTTGCAGTGCTGACCTCTTTCCATGTGACTCCTGGGGGCTGGGTCCATCCTCACAGAGGTGCTTCTCCAAGAAGTATTTGATGTCAGGACAAGCTTCCACCCCTGCTGTGGGCCACCTCCCTAGAGTTTGGATCCAGCCCAGGTGCAAAGACACAGTGGGTCCAAGATCCTAGATGCATCTGGAAATACCATTTGGATGGGCTAGCCTCAAATCCATGTTCAAGAAGTACCTGGAAATGTAAATGATTCTTGTCTCCACAGGTGAGGAGCGAGGACGCTGCTTCACCATTGAATATGTGATGCCCATGAACTCCCAGCTGACATCCGAGTCCACAGTCAACGTTCTAAGTAGGTGCTTTGAGCTTTGCACCTGGGCGGCACAGAGAGGAGCAGGGCAGAGGGAAGGGTCAGGGTTGCCAGTATACTTCTCCAGAGCTAATGCCCTGAGGCCCAGCTGGCTGTGGGCTGGCCTGGCTTCACTAGCTTGCTCTGCACATGAATTTTCCAGGGGCAGAGACAGGTTGCTGGGGTCACTAACTATAGTGACCAAAGCAAGTAAGAGGTTTCCATGCCCAGGGAACCAAACTCTCTGCACCCCAGTGGGACTGACTGCATGGCCCTGGCCTTAACAGAGTTGGTTCTGGACCCAGAGTGAGCCTGCAATACTGTGGTGCGATTTGGATACAAATCACGTGCAGTTAAGGAAGATGCCTGGGGTTTAAGGCCTTAGTCCTCAACAAGACAGCCCTCACTTCAGCTGCCAGCTGCCAGTCGAGAGGTCCCAGGCCACCTGCACATCTGATAAATTGGCTACAAATGTGGGCGTTCCCATGACTCCCTCATGTTTAGTAATTTGCTAGAAAGACTCAAGGACTCAGGAAAGCACTATACTTGCCAGGATAATTTTATTATAAAGCACGTAAATCAGGACCAGCCAAAAGAAGAGACACATGGGGCAAGGGCTGGGAGTAGAGGTCCCAAACGTAGAGCTCTATTTCCTTTCCTCATCAAGGCCGGACATGCCACATCCTAAAGCATCCGTGTATTCATCAGTCTGGAAGGTCCACCGAGCTTTGGAGTCCAGAGTTTTTACTGGGTTGTATTATGCAGGCATGACTGACTGAACTCAATCTCCAGTCCCTTCCCTCCCCCAGAGGTCAGGCTCATCACCCCTGGCTCAAGACGCCCATCTTCTGATCACATGGTTGGCCTCTGAGTCACCTCATTAGCAGAAGCCCAGGTGTGTGATCTCGGGACCTGTCATGAATAACAGAGACACTCTTGTTGGCTTGGAAAAGTGTAAGAATTTAGAGGGTATCTCAGGAATCAGGGACAAAGATCAGATAAATTATTATACAACAGAACTGCTCCTCATGTAATCACAAGTAAGTTGAAGAGGACAGAGGTCAGTGACTATCCCTGGTGCCACGCAGAGCAGCCCCTTGCCCAAGGAAATGGTGAGTCTCCCTGGGAGAGGAAGCAGGAAGCAGTGACCAGGCCCTGTCACAGCTGCCACACTGCCAGCTGGTGTGGACTCCCAGGAGGGAGGTAGCTTATGCCTGGAGAAACCACTGAGGCCCTGAATACGTGGGCACCTGCACTCAGGCTTCCAGCCATATCTCAGGGACAAAAGCCCTGCCAGCACTGGGAGGTCCCCAGGCCACCCAATGGGGGATGGAACTGGGGAATTCTTGCAGGGGTGGGTCGCTGAGGACTGGGGGTGGACGCTGCCAGGAGGACTGGCCCCTGGATACTGAAAAGGGAGTAAGACCACTGGAGGCTGACAGGCCATCCTTTGTCCCCTTAATTAGAGATGATTCGGTCAGCCACCCCGTTCCCTCTGGTCAGCCTCTTCTTCATGTTCATTGGCTTTATCCTGAGCAACATCGGACACATCCGTCCCCACAGGACAATCCTGGCCTTTGTCTCCGGCATCTTCTTTATCCTCTCAGGTAAGTTGCGTTGTTTTCTTTTCACAGACTTTTGACATCTAGCTCCTAAACTGAGAAGTCCTGGTCAGCCCCCTGGTCCTAGAGGCACAGAGCGAGGGTCCAGTGTTTCCCACTGCAAACTCCACAATGTAGCCAAGGCCATATGGTAGCTTTGAGACCCCTGAGGTGGTTCAGCAGGGGTGACAGGGTCAGAAATGTAGGATTGAGCTGGGCCGTATGAAGCTGTTTCAGTGATATTAATAATAAAAGGGGTTCATTTGCGGCAGCAGTGTTCAAACATGAGTTAAGGACCAAGGAAGGTTTCGGTGATGCCTATTTTCCCTTAACGCTCATCGTTTGAGATGCCCCGGTTCTGTAAAATAATGCAGATGGAATTAAACCTGAACAGCTCAAAACAGAGTAATTAATTCTGTCTCGATTCAATTACAGTTGCTAATTGATGGGCCTGAGGCAGTCATGTGCACAGTTGCAGCAGGGTTGGGCACCCCGGCCTCTTGACTGAAGGCCTGCCAAAATCTCACACTCTCTTTACCTCCCTGCCTAGACATCTCAGGCCGCAGTGCTGTCAGGTGGGCTGCAGAGACCCTGGGCCCAGTTGGCAGACTCCATGATGACGTGCACAGCTGGAGACAGGGGTTGGGGGCCTCAGCTACCTCCGCTGAGGGGGCCTATTTTACTTCTCAGTGTTGGGAAAACCACTTGCCAGCTGAGTGGTTCACAGTGGTGTCACCTGGGCAGCTTTTAGGAAAATACAGTGCCAAGGCGCCAGGCCAGGCTAAGTAAATCAGAATGTCCAGGGCCGGCGCTCAGGCATGTGTCTGACAGGTGTGGACAGCGGGGTGAGAAGCCCTGGGGGTAGCCCATGGCTCAGAAGGGAAGCTGGACAGGGAGCCATCTGCAATCTAGAAGGTGCTGGGCTAAGCAGGGTCCTCAGGAGGAAACTCCTGTTCTCCTTTGAATTCCCAAATGAATGTGTAGTCACCCCCAGGCGGGGGCGAGGGAGGTGCGGCTTCTGTGCTGAGCCGCTCTGCCCACCCCCCGCCCCCCGCAGGCCTCTCTCTCGTGGTGGGCCTGGTGCTCTACATCTCCAGCATCAACGACGAGGTGCTCAACAGGACGAAGGACCCAGAGACCTATTTCAACTACAAATACGGATGGTCGTTTGCCTTTGCTGCCATCTCTTTCCTTTTAACAGAGGTAAACCCCTCCGGCCCAGCCCCGCCAGGCTGGGGGGTGGGGCGGCTGAGCTGAGCACCTTGCCCTCCCCCCCTACACTCCCCTTCTTCACCCCGGAAGCCATCGCTCTCGTACCTCCCGGGTCTCCTGCAACCGGCACGTCCCCAGGTCCCCGCTTCCGTCGCCCCGTCCTTGTCCCACCCCCCGGGGCGGTGAGGCAGGCCCGACGGGCGCGCTCCCCCCGCCTTGTCGCTGCAGAGTGCCGGCGTGATGTCTGTGTACCTGTTCATGAAGCGGTACACCGCCGAGGACATGTACAGGCCCCATCCTGGCTTCTACCGTCCCCGGCTGAGCAACTGCTCCGACTACTCGGGCCAGTTCCTCCACCCGGACGCCTGGGTCCGGGGCCGCAGCCCCTCCGACATCTCCAGCGACGCCTCCCTGCAGATGAATAGCAACTACCCCGCCTTGCTCAAGTGCCCCGACTACGACCAGATGTCATCTTCGCCCTGCTGAGCCTCGGCCGTCTCCCGCCCTGGACCGCGGACGATCCGGACGGCCCTCCTCTTCTCCCCGGCCGCCCCGAGCCCCGCGCCTGTGGCTGACAGCCCAGGCTGCAGCGCCCCGCGACTGTGTCCTGCCCCGCGAGCTCTGGGGGCCTCTCCCGAGCTGCTCCAGCGGCCCCGGGAGATGGGGCGGTCGGAGAGCTGATTGGCTGAGAGCACGGGGCAGCCCCACCCCTCGAGTGCCAATCTCGGCCGCAGCTCCATGAAGCCAACAGCGGTCCGGTGCCCCCTGCCCTGCTGTATATTGTTCCTGCGCTCCCAACGCCATGCCCCCAGGCAAAGCCATCTCTGAGATGCCAGATTCCTTACACGGACGCAGCCGGACTGGTGCACTTGCCAACTGGTCTGGCCCTCACTTTCCTGCACTCCTGGCTGGCGCCGTCGGGCCAAAGGGTGACTGATGTGGAAGTCTGGCTGGCTCCAAAATGCCAAGCAAGCAGTGTTCCTTATGAAAACCTTTATCGTTTTTTGTCACCTACGTCCCTGCATACAGCACGTCTGCCTGTGCCCGCCCCTCCTCCCGCACAGGCTGTGAACCTGCCCTCTGTTCCTCCCATAACCCAACTGGCCCAGGGCCCCAGGGGGCTAAGTGGGGGGAGGGAATCTTAGGCCACACTGATAGAGTCACAAAGAGGCGTTAATGGCCGAAGATATCTTAATATGTATGGCCCTTTGATTACATACTCTACAGGGGTCTTTAATGCCTTAGCCCAGAGAAGTGATTCTGACCATGAGAATTTTACAATTGGGCTAGTTTAAGTTCCTATTACCAAGTACTGCTTCTGGCCCCAGGGACACTGTCCCCTGCTTACCAGGGAGATGTTTCCAGACCAAGGCTCTACCTACAGTCTAGTCGTGTAGACAGATGTCTATACCCCCTAAGTAAAAGGCAGCTTTCAAGGTGGCTCTCTTGGATTTGGAACTAAGTCTGGTGACACCTGGTGCCCTTTGAGTCTAAACAAGACAGATGTGGAGTGACTTCAGCTGCTCTCCTGAGTATGCCTGAGAACATTTGGGAGTTGCCAGTTTAATCCTAATGTAGGGGAGCCCCTGCTTCCTGGGTATAGGATATATGCAGACCAATCAGATGCCTCCAGAAGAGGAGGCAGTGTGGCACCTGTTTCCCAGTGGGAAACTGAGTTGGAGACGTCTGAATCACCTTCCCTGAAGTCCACAGGCAGCACACAGTGGGGCAGCCGCAGCAAACCGTGACTGTGATCTTGGTGGTCCTCCAGGCCTCAGCTCAACTTGTACATTTTTGATTTTGTGATGTTGAGTAGCCGTGCCCCCTTTGTGGCATATTTTGGCTATGCTAGCTTTTTTTTGCTCTAAGATACCATTAGTTTCGTCGCTTCCCAGCCTCTGGCTAAGACCAAGTAAGATGCCGTTAGGTCCTGAGTGGGCTGCATGTGGGTTCTGGCACGTAGGTTCTGGCACGTAGTGCAGAAAGCCACACACCTGGTGCATGTAGCTCAGGCTGCCGAACAAACTACCACAAACTGGGTGGCTAATGTAACAGAAATTAGTTTTCTCCCAGTTTTGAGGACCAAAGTCCAAGAGCAGGTGTTGGCAGGATTGGTTTCTTCTGCGACCATGTCTTTGGCTTACAGGTGGCGGCCTTCTCTTTATGCCCCTACACCCAGCTGTCTCTCAGTATATGCAAATTCTCTCTTTTAATAAGGATACCAGATAAATTGGACTGCAGCCCACCCAATGAATTAGATAATTAATTTTAATTTATTTTTTTTTTTTTGAGACGGAGCCTCAAGCTATCCCCCTGGGTAGAGTGCCATGGCATCATGCTCACAGCAACCTCCAACTCCTGGGCTCAAGTGAATCTCCTGCCTCTGCCTCCCAAGTAGCTGGGACTACAGGCGCCCGCCACAACGCCCGGCCATTTTTTGGTTGTAGCCATCATTGTTGTTTGGCGGGCCCAGGCTGGAGATTCGAACCCGCCACCTTAGGTGTATGTGGCTGGCGCCTTAGCCGCTTGAGCCACAGGCGCCGAGCTGATTAATTTTAATTTAATCACTCTTTAAAGGCTCTATCTCCACGTCTACTCATATTCTGAGATACAAGAGGCTAGGGCTCCAACATACGAATTTAGGGGAGGACAAGATTCAGCCTACAAGTGGCAGGCTGTTTTGCAGCTGGAATATTCTACATTTATTTCACAGCGTGGTAGAGGGGAAAGAGAAGAAAAACCAATTCTGGTCCCAGTTCAGCCACCAACTCACTGTGGATCCTGGGTCCACCCCTTTCTACGCAGAATTGTTTCTGGGCAAACACCCCATGCACCCACAACTCTGATGATTCAGACTCATGTAGAAAGCTCTATACTGCATTTGTATGTGACTTTTCAGCCTTTGCCTATGAACTGGTAGCAAGTTCGAGGCCTCAGCTTCCCACTCCTTTGGCACCCTTGCAATGACTGTTGTATTCTTTGGTTACTGTTTACGGAATAACACCGAAACCATGTTTTCCCTCGAAGCAGAGGAATTGGTTAGCATGCTTGGAGACAATTAGGTAGCAGTCCTGAGCAGGACAATTGTTTAGATGTGCTCTTCTCCAATTTTTGTCAACGTAATTAGCTCCTAAGAGGCACTTTTCTCTAAGACACTCTTTCTCTGTCACTGCACCAGGCTTGTTTTTGTGCGCACGGGAAAAATAGAATCCACTCTCACACACAAGCTGATTGCTGACTGTGACATTATTAGGACTGGCCTTTACTGGATCGGATGCTGAGCTGCTAATGAAAGAAAGAACTCTTACCCTGGAACACGTGGCTGCAGGTATCTTAGGAACAGGTCCTGGGCCACTTTCTCCCCTCACGGGAGACTGGTGAATGTATCAGTAATTGCACCACCACTACGGGTTCCTTTCTGTCCATAAACCAATCCCAGAACAGGACCTTATTTGCCACCTCACCACAATCAAAAGATTTATATCCAATATTAAAGTGTGTAAATTCAACTCAAGCTGTACATTAGTCTCTTCCTCAACAGTTTCTGATTCCTTAAGCACTGCTTAAAAAATACAATTTTTTACTTTCAAGAAATGGGAGGGATAAGGTAATAAACCAAAGTGTCATGAATTGTGGGATAAAATGACTCAGGGTTACCAGTCTTTAAAGGGAACCATTCTGGCCAGGTGAGGTGGCTCAGGAAGGTAATCCCAGCAATTCATATCTGTAATTAATTGCAGCACTTTGGGAGGCCAAGGCAGGAGGATCACGTAAGTTCAAGAGCAGCCAAGGCCACATAGCAAGACTCTGTCTCTACCCAAAAAAAAAAAATTTAAGAAATAAAAGAGGAAATAATTCTGACATTGGTTCCCTCCCATCCCATCCATCTGGGATTCTCCCCTCCTTCTTGCCCCGTGGGTGGGTCAGTAATGCTCCCGTACCCCCAGCACCATGAGATGACCTTCAGAGGAGTAGTCTGGCATCAAGGCTGCACACAGAGCTGAGGAGAGGAGTTGGAATCAGATTCACATATGCCACAGAATTATTTGAGATGCCCTCAGAGGATCACATGGAGAGGGGCCCCTCTTTAATGTTTGGGTAACTCTCCCTTCTTCCTACATAAAAGTGGTCTAATTAGGGTTCTCCAGAGAAACAGAACATATAGGATATATCTATAGAGAGAGATTTATTTTAAAGAATTAGCTCCCATAATTATGGAGGTATGGCCTGTCCAACCAAAGTCTGACGGGGGCGGCCAGCATCCTTTGTGCTCTGGGGACATCAGTCTTTGTTCCAGGCCTTCAGGGTATTGAGTGAGGTCCACCAACATTATGGGAGGCAGTGATATGCTTTGCTCAAAGTCTACTGATCTGAAGAACACCTTCAGATAAGCCAGAAAAATGTTTGACCAAATGCTTGAGTCCCATGGCCCAGCCAAATTAATACTAAATATTAAAACTAAATATGGTAAGAGGACTGAGGGAGGGGGGCAGGGAAATAGCATTCCACCTAAGGCCTGAACAAATAAGTCCCAGGCTCTGTTCCTTGCCAGCAGCCCACCGGCTCCACTCATCAGCCTAAAGGCCATAAGGGCCTGTCAGCAGCTCCCCTGAGTCTTGACTTTTACCCCATGCTCAGTGACTTACTCTCATATGCTAGTGTGACACTGGGAACACAGCACTCCATGAGTGAGTGGGTGCAGAAGTGGATGAGTGGGTGGATTCCACTAAATGTACTTAAGCTTTGGCAAGAACAGGCCAGACCTGGGACCCAACCAGGGCCTCGAGTGTGGCTCAGCCCTGTGGCATAAAAAAGATAAGCTCTATGGCCATGGAGTAGCAGTGGTAAGGCAGAACCAGGCTGGACCTTTCCCCAGGCCCCCTGGGGCTGTGTAGGCTGAGAGCTGCTTTTTCTGTCTGGGTTCCAGGTACACAGATGAGCTGATGGGAAGTGAGCAATAACCTCCAGGACCCGCGTCTCCCAGGTCCTTGGTTTCAGCAGAGCTAAGGTCTCTGGCTTCTCATACATCTTTGCTGGAATACTACACCTCTGTTTTGGGACTTTGGACAGGTCACACATTCCTGGGCCTACCTCAGCTTTCTGGTGTGTGAAGTCAGGACTCCCCGGCTAAGAAAATCTGAGGCTGAGGCTAAGATTTTCTGCCTAAGTGACCCTGTCTTTGGGGATCTGTGGGCAGCAGTCCTTCTGCCTGCTGGTCCAGAGGCCTGAGTTCCTGCCAGGGTGTTACTGCACCCTCTGCGTGTTACCAGCAGCCCTGAGAACTTCAATTTTTTCATTTTTATGATTGTGGGGGGGTAGATAAAATCATCTTCAGGCTCTGTCCCCAGATCCTAACCTCAACTCTAAAGCTGTAGGTTTTATAAGCAAAATCCAACTAAGCTCAAGTGGTGGATCCCTCAGCCCCTGCTTCCAGCCAGAGGCATCCAGAAAATACCCCAAAGAATGTGGCATTTAGCTAAGAGATCAGATAGTTAGAGGACTCCAAGGAAGAACAA